TATTTCCTGCTGTAGCTGATTATTATTATTATTATTATTATTATTATAAATTCTATAAATATAAATTGATTTGACTTTAAGCTTAAAGGCAGTCTAAGTGTGTATATATAGGGTGTTCCAATAACTTAGACCGATTTTAAATGTGAATTAAACGTCTAATGATTTTTTTTTCTTTTTCTTTCAGATTTAACAACTTAAGTCTTTGGCAATTTCAACCATAGAAAGATTAACAATCAAACAACGTGTTATAGTTATCGACGCCTATTACGAAAATAGACGTTCAAATTTTTAAATATACGGCCCAATGATTCTGCTAGCAAAAAATGTATACACAACGGTGACCTTTTGTGGATGCAGTGGCTTCTCAACAATCTTCCTTGGATTTTCATTTGCTCAAATGCGACAATTCTGATTATTAACGAATCAACAAAAATGAAAATGGGCTTCATCACTAAAGAAGATTTTTTGCGAACAATCTTCATCGTCTTGTCTTTGCGCCTGCACCCAATTAACGAATGTACGGCGATCCAAATGGTCATCAGTTTTCAGTTCTTGTGTCAACTGAATTTTGTAAGCGTGTAGAGACAAATTTTATATCAAAATTCGATGTAAGGTTGTTGTGGAGATGTTCATTTCCTGCGCACGATGACGAATAGAGGTGTCTGGATTTTCGGCCACATTCTCGTGCACTACAGCAATGTTTTATATATATATATATATATATATATATATATATATATATATATATATATATATAATTATATAGTCTAAATATAACCAAGATATTATGGAAACACGTCCAAATAAATAATGGTTTAAAACTGAATTAAATAAAAATCATCTGTAATATAATTGATCCTCAACTTCACTCACTTTCTCCCCGACATGACGTGGTTTCCCTCCTTCTTTTCTACAAATATTTTCATGGCAACTGACGAACTTTTTCCCATGGTGCCCCGACTACATGAATTTAAGCGTGCCACTAGATTGGCATCTAGGTCCCACCCGTTTACGATTGAAATATTTAAATGCAACCGCTACTTCTACCCCAAACACCTTCTTTTCTCGCACTTCCTACCTGTGGAACTCTCTTCCGTTTACTTGCTTCCCTGATAATAATAATCTTCAAAAATTTAAATGCAACGTCAATCGCCATCTTCTATCTTCTTGAGTTCCGTTCATCTTTTGTCCTTTCCTCAATCCTCCCTATACGCAGTTTTTTTCTCACTTTCACTCCCTTGTAATCCCCTGCGGACTATTGTCATTCCCATCTTACTTGGGGTTACATGATCAAAAATAATTTAAATAACGCTGTAGTTTAAGCAGCCAAACACTCTCTCTCTCTCTCTCTCTCTCTCTCTCTCTCTCTCTCTCTCTTCATTTTAGATTTATTTCTCTTTTACATTTTGTTTGCTTTCCTCCCCACGTCTCCCAACAGTCCTTCAATTTCTTCGTCCATGCACGGAATACTGCTGCCATGTATGGTCTGGTGCTCCCGCTGTTCATCTCGAGGTCCTTGACAAAATCCGGAGACGGATATGAAACGTGATTGGTCCGGATCTGGCATCCCGTCTGCAGTCACTATCTCACAGACGGGCTGTGGCTACTCTCTGTCTTTTCATGGCAACTGCTCCGACGAGCTACTTTCAAACTGCATGAAATTAAGCGTGCTACTAGGTTGGCATCTCGGTTCTACCCTTCCACTGTCAAAACAGCGAAATGTAGCCATCTCTTCTACTCCAAAAGCTTCTTATCTTGTACTTCCCGTCAGTGGAACTCCTTTCCTATCACTTGCTTCCCTGATAGCTTTAATCTTAAAATATTCAACATCTTCTGATACCATGATCTTGATCCCCGTCTTTCTCTTTATCCTTTCTTCAAACACCCCTCTTTACTCTTACTCTCACTCTCTGTAACCCCTTGCATGCTAGTGGCACTCCCGCCTTGCTTGGGGTGATTTGCTGAAAAAAATTACTTCTTCTGACTTTATCTTTGTTCGTCTCTTCTTTCTTCTACTACTACTGCTGCTACTACTACTATTGTACTTTCTTTCTATTTTCTATTTTACATCATCCTTGTATAAACTTCTACTTAATTGATTCATGTCAACATCGTCTCTTTCTTCATCCTTATCATTCTCATCTCAAATTCTTTATTCTTTTTGATTTCTACTCTTTCTTCCTCTTCTTTATCCAACATCACACTTTATCTCCGCCTTCAGCACTTCCAGTATTTTCTTGCACTTTTTCTTTTAATTCCTTGTCCTATGTCAACTTCGTTTGTTCATAATTACATTTTATATTTACAATAATAATAATAATAACAAAGAACGCGGCCCAAATAGACGCTGATAATTGTTCGAGGCTCAAGAAAATGTCGACTCTTGTTTCTGACGACGGTAACATCACAATAGGCTAAAATGGCCTATTTTAATTTAGACACGAATTGCAATGAATTTTTTAACAATAGCAAATTGTCCATGAAAAACGAAAAAAAGTATAAGAAGTAAATGTTTTTAGAAAATTGGCTAGCCACCGGAGTGGATGCATAACATGGACTAGCTTTTATGAACATATTTTTACCCAATTTGGAGTGTCTGTGTTTATTGGATTACTTATTTCTTAACTCCAAACGTTTCGTCATTTCTGTCTTTTTCTTATATTTTTGTTCCACAAAGCAAATACACACACAACACATATTTATACACATATTCCCATATATGCAGATATGTTTTACCCCAACAAACAAAAGTACACGAACACACACATACACACACACACACACACACATATATATATATATATATATATATATATATATATATATATACATATATATACACAAGTTTTATTACTTTGTCGTAAAACAAGTTTTTTTAAACGTTGAAGTGCTAATTCCCTTGTTACACTGAGGTTCGATAAAATACTGCTTAAAAACAACTTCTACTCGAATATGAGTACCCATAATGTTTAAAGAAAATAAATTATATATATATATATGTGTGTCTATATATATATATATATATATATATATATATATATATATATATATATATATATATATATATACATATTGATGCATTTTCATTAAATAATATAAACAAGTGTTGTCTATTTATTTTATGTAAATTCTTTTCATATCGTCTGATAAGTTTAATAACATTATCATTAAACGAAGAAAGAAAATCACAATATTGATACATATTTTTTAATCCTATCTAAGCTTTCGGCTTACATAAGCCATTATCAAAGATGACAATTACTGTACAATATATTAAGCAATGCACGAACAAAACAATGATAATAGTCTGTTTCTGTTTGCATGGAATATTTCCAAGCAACGACAAACTCGTGCATACAAGACGCTAGAAGCGAAAATCGTACCGCAGCTTATGACGTTACACATGACCACGCGAGAGTGAAAACGAGAAGTATTAAGTATGGGAAGCCGTTGGTATAAACTAATAGCTTCTGTTACCAATTATAGGCATTAAAGATATTTGTGGAGATTTCATAGTTTATTTTGTTCAGGTTGGGTTTCAACTGTTTTATGTATATAGCTTCAAGAATTTTTAGCTTTTGCTTTTATGTTTAAGTATAGTTGTGTTTTCAACAAGGATTTTCCGGAATTGTGTATGCGGCCAGGCATGTTGTTTTAAATGCCTAAAAATGTTAGTTATCATTTAAATGTGGTGTCAAGCGTCGTGAAACAATGCCTATAATTGGCAACAGATATATATATATATATATATATATATATATATATATATATACACTACGAAATGGACAAAGTACGACAGTTTAATATATTTTATTGTTATACGTTATTTATATATGCACAAATATTTAAGTAAATGATCTGTTTATAATAAACAATATTAACAATATTTATCGGCCTGAACGGCCGAGAAATTTCATGGAAAATATGCGTCCTCCGACAATGTGTAGGATACAGGTTCGAAAACACTCGAGACATCAAACACAATTTCGACAACTTTTTTCATAACCTTCCACCCCTTCCATTCGACTACTATATTTTTTAATCATTTCACGCCATGCAAGGCAACAAAGCCACTGAAACGCAGGTGGCTACTGAGAGTGAAAGAATGAAAGAACGTGAAATCATTATAAAAGAAAAAGAACAATAAAAGAACAGAAACTAAGAAGATAGAGGATAACGATTGACATTGAATTTTTGACTGGAAAGAAAGAAACCGGAAGAGAGTTCGACAAGCAGGAAGTGCAAGAAAAGAAACTATTAGCAAGAAATTTCCGGTTACATCATGCCATTTCAAGTTTAAAATGATATGATCTTTACGTCAATCTAGTACTATGTTTAAATTCATAAAGTCTAGGTACCATAGCGGAAAGTTCATCAGAACAATTACCATAGAAGGATTTATAGAAAGGGCACAGGAAAGCTACGTTACGGTGATGCGAAAGTGACTGAAGGCGAGATGACACGTCAGGACCAATGACATTACATATTCTTCATTGGATTTTATCTCTAAATATATAGCAGGAGAACCGGACCATATGTGCCAGCAATATTCAAAGTATGGACAAATGGTAGACTTATAAATATGTAAGATAGATTCTGACTAGTAGCAGACCTAGTAATCGATTCAATATAATCTTTCCACTTTATGTCAGCGGAAAACGTTAGCCCCAAAAGACTCATTCTTTGACCGTTCTCTTTTAATAAAACATATTTAAACGAAGGATTACTGCTTAAATATAATGCGTTTAGATTTTTTCTTTTTAATCAGCTGTGTCTGTTTTACCAATCAATCATAGGCGAGAAGTGGCCGGTATATTTTTATGGTAGATCGACAGTTGCTCATGCATCCCGTCTCTCCACACAACTGATGTTGCCGTCTGATTTGCTGGAACAATGTTGGATTCAACGTCGGACGACGGACGTCGGACTGACTACGAATCTAGATTCTTATCTTTAGAGTTTACTAGTGAACGCCTTCCCAGGCAGCAGATGTCCGAAACCAGAGTTTTCTTTCTCATAGATAGATAGATAGATAGATAGATAGATAGATAATGAAGAGACTGGAGATAGATAGATAGATAGATAGATAGATAGATAGATAGTAGATATAGATAGATCAGTCAGTCAGTCAGTCATTACTGATGGGTAACTGCTTGGGAATAGCGGGTACTGTAAGTAATCTCCGTCAATCTGAGATAAGTTTCGACATAACTTTCAACGGTTTGATAAGCCGTAAAAAAAAAACAAATTAATCCGAATTGAACTTTAACAGAGAAACTATTGCATTCATTAATTTATATCATATTCATTTCATTTTTTACTTTAAATAGCTTTGTGGATTAAACCGTTGCTTCATTAATTTAGTGGCATAATATTTGTGAGTTCAATCCCTGTGTCGAGCAGTGTATACTTGAACTCAGTGGAAGCGGGGCGAGCATTAAGTGTGCAGTACTAAATAAGAACTAGACGGTTACTATAAACGTTATTTTTAGTAAGTATAAATTGATAAAGACACTTTTCGGCTATAAAATTGTTTTCCTATTTTATTTACCATTTCATCCCAAACAAGGCGTTAATGCCACTAAGACACAAGGAGTTACTGTGAGGGGAAGAAAATGAGTAGACTTTAGTGAGGAGAAAGGAGAATAAAAGAACAGGTTTCAGGAAGACGAAAGATAGCGATTGACGTTGAATTTAAATCTTTGGAGATTGTCGCTGGCTGGGACGCTAGAAACCGGAAGAGGACTCTATAAGTGAAAAGTGCGAGAAAAGAAACTTACAATCGAAATTATGGTTACATTTACGTTTGCTCGTAATTTTGTTTTCTTTCATTGATTCATTCCTTTTCGATGGTTTATCAAACTTTTGCTGATTATTTAAATCCAGAAAATATTTTTAGATTGTATTTTTTTAGGTAATACTGGTTTAGTGATACAAATCTTACTAATTAACCCATAGCTGGGAGAGAATAAAAGGATTCATACCTTTCGTATTTGCGCGTAAGTGAATGTAACGAACCCAACTGGAATTGTAACTCGGCTCTCCAATTAACAATCCCGAGCCATTATCCATTACACCATCCGCACATCTGGTATTCCCAAGCGGTTACCCATCTTGCTTAACTTTGGTGATCGTAGTGGCACCGGTGTTTCAAAATGATGTGGCTGTTAGCCTTCGTAATTTTAAATATTTTTTTTTAAGTGAGCTGGACAATCTTTTGCCAGATAATCGGTTGTGTGCATGTATTTTTTAATTTGCATAATTCAAATGTGTGGGTGAATTCAGAAAAGTTCACACAGTCTACATAACAGACTTCCGATGCTACTATAGCGTGAGATCTACCTCAATATGTCGTCTACTCAAGTGCAGCGCGGAGGTGTACCGTGCCCCTCCCCTCACGTGATTCGGTGATACATAGATGATTGTTCTGATTATAGTAATCTGAATACTATGGGTTACCAACATTCAACAGTGAATCAACAGCGACATTATGTGGATCCAACGACAGGAGCACACACTCAGTTAACTGAGCGATCGTGGTTGAAACGTTGATTCTCAAGAAAATGCAAGGTGTTGGTAGTCAGCTGTTCCAGTCACGTCTTGATCATTTTTGCTGGAAGATAATAAGAAAATATTCCAATGAGCTATACGTGTCATTCTTAGAAGATATACGATGTGTTTATCGTTAAAATAAATGTATTGTATTTGATAGCGTGTTTATGCTTACCTGCCTGCCTTTAATATAAATATAAATAGTATATAGATGATAATATAAGGTTTAAATAAATATGTATACACATACAATACTATATTATAGTTCGATGCTTCGGTAGACCTCACGCTATAGACGAAACGGGAGGTAGACCTCACGTTATATTGAGATAGACCTAACGCTACAGTTGCACGCAGGTTTCATCAGTTAAGAGAAAAAACAGTTTCACTTTCATGAAGAATACAGCTCCATATCCCATTTAACAAAAAAATAAAACTAAGAAATATGAATCAAGAATAGCAAGACAAAATATTACTAAGAAAATCTCATAACCATATCAGTCTTCTGACATTAGTTTTGACATTAGAATCCTAGAATCCATCTTGCACATTTATGAATCTACCATTCGCCCGTATATCGAATATTACTGTCACATCTGGTTCGGTGATTCTGCTGTTGTAATGAAAAAACAAAGCTGAATATCAACTTTAGAAGCTTTATTCTACTAAACTGTATATTTATTGCATAAAAAATACAATTTTGGCACGAGACCGAAGGGGAAGTGAGGTGAAGCTAGCTAATCTAATTCGCGACCTATTCATTCATCAAAATTTACTCAATCACCACAAGATTTCATTCATCACCATTCACCGGACACATACCGCAATACCGCATATTTTAGTTGGTGGGGGTCTACAAAAACAGCCATGTCATAAAAAAATTTCATAATATATACAAATGACGTTATTTTTTCTTCTTTTTTTTAAAAAATCAAATACAACGAAACATTAAAACTAAAAATAAAATATGTCATTATGACCCGTCCACCCCACAGAAAAAATAAGAGTGGCCACTGTATTCTGACGATAGGCAAAATCAAGACGCTCACTCACTAAAGGTGGGGACAGGACAAAATAAATTGTGGAGTGGGAAAATCAAAAGCTGACCCAGTCAAGATAAAAACAAGGGAATAAAAAACAAACTGGGGAGGTTGGGAATCTTGATATGGATCATAACAAAAGAGAATGTCAGGAGCAGGTCGGGAAGAACAATTATTCACATTAACTTGGTAAACAAAAGAGTCTAGCTTAACCACGTGAGCGATCCAACAGGAAACCGACTCGTGTCAAAACTTCGTTATGACCAAAAAAAAAATCAAGATTGGACCAGTTCGCACGAACTAGGCTTGTCGCTTTTACCCACTTTTCGTTTAAATCTGCGGATAGCAAACGATTTTCTATCAGTTCTGATCTTCCTCCTGAGCTGATGTCCAAAGAATCTAACCAGATCCTGATGAGAATAACGTTCTTATCGTAAGATTCCCTCCATTCGCGTAGTCCACCATCTTTGCCATGGAGAGCAGCGCCAGAAACACTATCCGTTTCACCCCAGAACACGGAGAAGACATACTATCACATGCATATGTGAAATCGATGGACACGAGATGTTCCGGATCGATACGAACCGTCAACTCGCCGACATGATCCCAGAACGGGCGCACCCGAGGATAGTGGTAAAAAACGTGTGCAACCATTTCTTCTTAATCAAGGTCACACTGATGACAATCAGGCATATCTACCCAGACCTCTCTGAAAGCCACGTCATTGAGAGATAGCTCATTCCGGATCAATTACTCAGAGTCGAGAAAGAGTGCATATAAATGGGAACAAGTATTTTCAGCTATAAAATTAAAAAGGAAAAGGGATTGTTATTGAGTTATCAATATTAGTAGTAATTAATTTAAATCCGACAATTAAAAGTTTAGCGAAATCAAGACAGACTTAAAAGTTTTATGAATGGAAGTAACGCTCAACTTTTTTAACCCACCTTGAATCCATGATAACGATTCAGGATGTAGAATTAGTAAATACCAAACACTTCAAATACATCAACGTGTCAATCAGTTATAATAAATTTAGTATAGGCGCAAAAGGAAAGTGAACATAGAATAGGCTGCGCCAGAGGTAGTTTCGCTCAATACCGCCAATTGCTACAAAACCAAAACATCAACCTGAAATCTGATAACTGAGTTATGTTCTTAAATAACTTAGTCAGCTCCATGCTTTCATATGGATATCATGCATGGCGCCAAAGTCGTCCAAGAAATATCTAACCTACCGGTAGTATACAACCGCTTTCTAACATCAATGTTTAAAAAAGGGTTTTGAGCAAACAAAGCCTGAACAAAGTCCATCCTTCTTTGAACATTTTGGACTGGCCCCACAGAATCACCAAGCGTTGTACCATATAACAGAAACCACATTACTACCAGCAGCTGCAACAACTAAAATGGATAGCACGAGGTTTACACACTCTACATTTCGTTCAATTTCACAAACCAATCGATGAAATTTGAATAAGCATATTAATTTGGAAAAATACTTCGACAAAAATCCTACTTCGTGCTTTAATAATTTCTTTAATTTAATTTTATAGGACTTCATGGTAAACAATATTTTTAATAAACTTTTTTCCTTTTTCCTTTTTAATAGAAAAGAATAAATTCCTAGGATTTCTTACTCTTGAGCATGCAACAGGCCATCCGTAAATATTTATTTCTGAAGCGAAGTCCCAACTTTTTCAAGCGTTTGTCCTTGTGTTTTATTCATAGTTCTCGAAAAAGCAGGTCGAAATAGAAACTGGATTCTTGTATATATAAAAATTAAAGAAAAGATATATAAAAAACGATATTGCATTTTTATTAAATAAGTATTTGTTATTTTAATCATTGAATTGTTTTTAAAATAGTGGGAGTATTTATATGTTAAATAATAAAACTTTTCATTTTTCCACAAAAATTAATGAAAATTTATGGTACTAAGCTACGCACCCTAGTAAAACCAACTTTGTACCCGCTTACCTGTTTGCACTTCTCCCCAAAATTTGGTTTCGATCGGTCAATGTATGGCTATTTTAGAGGGGAGGGTGTGACGGACGGACGAACTAACGGAAGTCACAGAATTTTATATATAGATTTGGTCTTTCTTTTCTCGTTCTTTTTCTATATTTCTTCTGTATGTTTCATCTTTATGAAACTAACTCCCAGTAGGATGCATCCCTGATCACGACAATCTTCACCTGGTCATGTCTAGGGTCAACCGTTATCTTCCTCACATATTATCATAAACTCTGCAACGACTGACCTTTGTACAGCATGATTGTAAAAAAGACTTCTTTTAAATCTTACTCCACATTTAACCCAATTTCTATCTAAAGCAAAAGTAAATAAATAAATACTGTTTTCTAAAGAAATGTCAAATGTGAGTCATTGCCAAACATGAGACATTGCATCATCTCATCCTTTTAAAAATGTCAGCATCAAAAGTTTCCTTTTTTTTCTTTCTTTTT